AAACAAATATTTTCACACTGTCAGAAAATCATTTTCCAAACATCGGAAAACAGTTTTCCACTTTCTTGCATACGGCCTCTGTTCGGTTTCCAAAAAAGTTACCAATCACATGTGGAGGTCTCGCATTGAGAACTTCAGATACCCGCACTGCAGACGGAAAGTCTAACACGGGCGGCACTGAAACAATCTGATTCTATGAAGGCACTCTCTGAAATACTCACAATAGATTATTAGGTTTCCACTATGAATCTGCTTGTCCAGTGTGCGAACTTCACAACGATATCTTCCCGTTACTCTCACATTAGCTTTTCCGATTTCGAGGTAAACTTTTCCCTGATTTAGTGTTCCTGGAAAGACCTGAAGAGAAATATTGATTCAAGGCTAAACCTAAAAACTCACTTTACCATCCGACAATCGTGTGAACTCTCCGTATTCGACATCAAGATGTTCTCCAAGTTTCTGAGCTCCACACCTGAAAAAATGGAGGCTATCCTTTTTCTGTAGTTAAATTTCAGCCACCATAAGTTTGGTATATCAGCATAAAGTGTCTTGTTCGGATTCCCAATGTGAGATTCTGGAGTAGCAATGACCGCCAGATTTCCGATGACATTGATTGGTATCACCATTTCAGCTGTCAGCAATACAGGCAGAATAGAGCATAGTACTGAAATAGGGAATAGAATATCAGACTGAAACTGTTTCTTAAACATTTGAAAAACTCACATATTAAAAGAAGATTCGACATTCTCATATCTTTTGGCTTTCTCTCAAAGATTGCTCAGATTGAATCGAACCAATATACTTCCTGGCGTCTTGCTTCGTTTTCTGAGTCTCTCTGACTTGAGAACAATTTCTTCGAATCGAACAGTTGTGTAATAGCCGGACTCTCACAAAAGCTTCGAGATTCGGGAGCATAGGACGACGGGATCCATTGACCTTTTTTTCTTTTTTAAAGGTAACTCAGTGTGATCTGATGCGTCATAAGTAGGTGGAGAATGATGGATGTGGGAAGCAGGATGACGTGATTCTTACTTCATAAAAATAGCAAATTTTCTGGAAGGTTTTTCAGGAGGTTCTAAACTTGTAATTCTTGTGAACGACTGGTAGTTTGTCCGGAAGGGAAATACAAAAAAACAATTTAAATTCTTTGCAGATTCTGATTAAAACTTGGGTAACACAATAAGAGTATTGGTTTCTACTTTCTATTGATCTATCATTACAGAAATACAAAACCTGGATTAGAAGGAGCTCTTCAATAGAAGGACTCCTGTAATAATTCGATGAGAAATAGTCCGAAAATATCATTATTTTATAGGAACCTTTTGTTGTTTTTTGTTCAAAAAATTGCTCAGTTCTGGTGAATTGTTAGAATTTCATGAATTTTGAACGAGAATTTTCTGAGTTTTCTAATGAAAAATTTGAAAAAAATGCCCGAAAAATAGAAGAGCCCTCCGGAGGTACCTTGGAACAATAGAAGGGCCGGCCCTTCTAATATAGATTTTATTTCATACAAAAAACATGATAACATCAAAAGTATACCGCTAGATTCAAACTGAAAGTTTCAGTTCCAACAAAGCAGTACTATCATAAAACTTATAAGAGAAAAGGCCTCTAACGTCGGGCCAATTTACCTCGCTTCCTGTAAAAGATATCAGAAAGTGATCTACTGATAAATTATTCATCATGATGTCACTCACATGTTTTCAGTTTACACATTTCTTTTATCTTGCATAGGAGCCAAAATAAATCAGTTCAAACTTAACAATGTGGGGGCCCTTCTATTACAGCTTTTTAGACTCCGAAAATCATCCATGAAGAAGTCACCAAAAATTATAATCCAATAAAGTATAATTCCAGCTGTCTAGGGGACACACATCCTCAAAAATTGGACCTGAGCCAAGATACATGTTTGAACAAAGACGTAAAATACCACACTACATTCTAAAGAGGAATACAATAAAATTGATATCAAATGTTCCCTAGCCTACATAAAATTGGTTTCTCTGTCTGTCTCCCAAAAAATCCCTCAAATTTCATTTGTTTCGATGTCTGAACTCTTAATCCAAACCCTAAGTTGATTGACAGACAGTGACCTATGAATACAGACGACAGACAGTGACCTATGAATTGACAAATTGGAAAACCCAAATGTCTCTTTCCCTGTTTTTTTTGTCCAACCAAAAATCCCTTCAGCTAATTTCAACAACGGTTTCTTTTTTTTGCTCTCGACGGCCTTCAGAAGGAGCAAAAGAAGAAAAAGAAGATGTCAGAAAAGGAGCAATCCAATCTTGTGAGAATCTCTTAAATTTCAGCTTCCTCTCTCCCCCTCCTTTTTCCTTTTCACGGAAGGAATCTGATTCAGAAGACGTTGCCATCAAAACCCACACATCTTGTACTAATTGGTCTCAGATTCTCTAATTAAGCAAAGGTGTCGTCTTGTGACGGGTACGGTAGAGAAATTTGAGATGTACTACTTCTTTCTCGTTTTTCCACATCTTTTAGAGTCTTTTTCATGCATTTTGCGATCTTCTTATGAGTATGACTAACACCTCTGTGCCTCTAAAAATCCTTTTTCTTCCCGAATAAGTGTGATAAGAGACAAACAATACATCCTTTTGTCCAACCCAATTCGTCATTTTCCGTCCTCCATTCGTCCTTTTTTCTTCGTCCCTTCTTCCAAAATTTGGTGTATCCTCTTTTCCCAAAGGATTCATAAGGTGCTTATACTGTGTTTCCGAAACTTCATCAGTCATTCTGACACAGCTACACAAATGCGCATGATTGAGAACAACAAGGCGAGAGTTCTATTTTTCATCTTTAATTATAGTTATTTTCTGAACAGGTGTTGGTAATAGTAGTACTAAAACTGTGAAGGGGGGGGGGGGGGGGGTTCCATCCAAATTTTCATTGTGATTTTTGTTGCATTAAATTGTCTCCAAAGTTATTTATTTTCATAATATTACTTTTTATTTAATGCGAAATCCCTGAAAATGCCATCGAAGGGGCTCAGTTCTTGTAAAAGTTATCTTCAAGCAATTTTTCAGCCATTTGTAAGATCAACTAGACTTTTTTGTTCTCTTTATCGAGTTTTAAATTGAATGATTCAATTATTCCAACAAAAAATATTAAAAAAGAACCAGAAATGTTCTGAAAGATTGCATGAAAAATCAGCGCACAGTAGCCGTGGACTAGGATTCCCTCGACCCTCTTGGACTGAGCACGCTTGAAGGCGTTTTTCAATGATTTCGGATTTTTTTTCGGATATTTTTACGAAGTAACAGTATAAAAATACATAACTGTATGAAAACATAATTGCAAAACAATTACAAAATTTTTTGGCCGGAGCCCCTATTAAATGATAAACCCGAAAAGAGTCTTTTTTTTCAAATTTTCTTTTTTTAGTTTCTTTTTTCTCGGTATCATACCCCAAACACCACCAACTCAATTGTATGTCTCAATGGTAAATGAGTAGGTGTGTCTGTGTAGTCCACTCCTATTTTTAAAATCTACGTCAAGGGGCACCGCTTATTGTAGTTACTTCTCCTCTTCAGATTTCGGATTCTTCTATTTCGTCTGTTAATCTCTCATTTGTCACTTCGTTTTCCCCCACTTTTCCTTCTTCTGGTTGGTTTCTCAGATAAGAAAATATGAGTGGGCGGAGCTTGCTCTTTTAGGAGTCACTGATTTTAGGATTCAGATATTTTGAGAATCTCAAAAAGGGAACACACGAGTTGTTCAGGTTAACCTTCTCATTCCAGATTCATCTAATTGTCGTGTTTTTGTGCAATATCGACATCTAAGTTGTCTTTTTTTTTCTGCTCAAATACTTCTTATTCTGCTTCTTCATTTCCTTTTTTCTGCTACAATTTCAGAAGCGAGATGAATATAAATCCAATTTGTTTCTCCACAAAAGAGGACCCTCGTACTAATTGAATTATGAAGCATCTGAAGACAACCCCTTCATTCTGATTCATATACATTTTCCTGCTGCTTCTCATTTCTACTTTTCTTTCGGAACCTTTTTTTCATTTTTTTTGAAGTTTTCTCCAATATGGGCGGTCCTATTATATGATGATATTCTCAATTTCGTCATCCAATATTTTATAATTATTCTCTTTTTCTTTTTTCTTCTTGCTTACTGGCCTTTTGTGACATATTTTCAAGTTGCTTTGTGACGTTGTAAAAAGGGAAAAATGGAATAGAGAAAAAAAATGAAAAAAAAATGCGGAGGAGGAGGAAAGGGTAACTGAAACTAAATTGGGTTGATCCGTGTGTATTGTGCAAAGCAAAAAGGTTCCTGTTTTTGTGTTGGAAAGAGGTCTCAAAACATTCTTTCATCTGAATTTCTTGTTTCTCCAGAATATTTCGTGATATTTGTCACACCTCAAGCTCTTTTTTCACTCTAACCGTCGATAACATGGGATGCCTAAAATTTTATTGCACTACCTAAATTTTTATTGCATTATATTTGAAAGATATTTGAAAAGTTATGTATTTCCTAATATTATTACAAAAAAAACCAAAAATTCGAAATTCCTAAATAACGCCGTTGAAAGAAACAATTTTCTCAAAAAGTTACGAATAGGGACGAGGATTACGGTAATCGCATTTGAGCGCATTTAGACAACGTCTCAAAAAAATCGTGCAGCTGGACGCTTTTTTAGTAACCGACAGTGGTTTATTACGTTTTATATGTAGCGGAGATAAAAGCGGAAAAAAATCTGGAAAAACTGTCATGTAAAAAAGGCGTCGCCGTGGCCTAGTTTTTTCATTGCGCCGGGACGCAAATTCTTGTCCCTCTTCGCAACCTCGATATTTTTGATTTTTTTTTGGGATATTGAATTTATTCTGAAATTTTTTTCAGTGATATTATGAAAATACATAATTTTGGGATCATTTTAATGCAAAAAATACAAAAAATGTGTTCAGAGTCCCTCTTTAATTTTTTTTACTAAATTTGGTTTCTCTGCGACCACATTGAACTACAAGTTCTTTGATAAAGTTTCAACACTTAATAACGTCATTTTCTTCGATTGCTCTCAATTCGTCCTCCCTAGACACATAGAACACTTGACCTACCTACCAGTGCTCTTCCGGGAGGGAGAGCTCTCCCCTTGGATACCAAAATACCTTCAAAAATGTGGAGCAGGAATAAAAAAGTGAGTTAAAAAAAAATGTTGTTGGTTTGAGACGACGTAACTTAGTACAACATACTTCTTCGTCTTCTTCCTGTCCACCTCCTTCCAACAAATTTTATGAACTACTTTGCGGTTTCCATGTTTTTCCCCGAAGAAGAAAAGTTATTGCTAGCTTCAGTTCTCCTTTTTTAAATATGCTTATTTTTCTCGTCTTTTATTTTCAAGTCAGCAGGAAGCAACAATTTGAGTAAACTCTTTTGTCTGGAAATATATTTTAGAGAAGACAGACTAAAATTTGTCCAAGGGTTTCTTTTTCTAGCCGTTCTTAGAGTTCCAAATTTTTAAAAGCAAATACCAAACTTCTGGGTTTCTTTTTTGTAAAATTGCATTTTACAAAAACTGGTATTGTTTTATACGTGCCGTGAAACCTGTATTAGAAGAGCCCCTTTAATAGAAGGGCACCTTTAATAGAAGGCCCCTCCAAGAGGGGCTTGGAAAAATAGAAAAGCCCCTGTAATAGAAGGGTCACCGTAATAGAAGGGCCCTCCGTGAGGAAGGGAAAAATGCGTTTTGAAATTAAAAAATTTCCGTACGTTTTCAATTATCATTATTTTGGAAATTCCAGAATTTAATAGAAATTTGTTGAAAGACTATTTTTTATAAAAAAGTTGCTCAATTTTGGCTAAATTGATAGATTTTCCTGAATTTTGAACTTAAATTCATAGAATTTTTCGATGAAAAATTTCGGGAAAAATGGCCAGAAAAATAGAAGGGCCCCCCTTAATTGAAGGGTCCCTGTAATAGAAGGGCCCTCCGGAGATACCTTGGAAAAACAGAAGGGCCGGCCCTTTTAATACAGGTTTTACGGTATGTATCTTGGAAGCACGAAAATCGGTAGAAATATAATATTACGTTTGATTCAAAGCTACTGAAATTTTCAGAGCAACTCCTTTAGTCTAGGTATTATTATGATTGTCCAAAAATGAAATGTTTCTTGCCGTTGTGACTTTCACAAGATGAATCATTTTTGACAAGATAACTCATTGTCAGCTCACAGTTGATCAAATGATTTGAAACTTTCCCGGTTCACTGACAAATTATTGGAATGTGTGCACTCCAAATTTGAGCCAAAGACAATTCTTTATTCAAATTTTATGGTAGTACAAACTTTAGTCCTGGTAATTATGCTCCACTCTGTGTTGTCACCTGGAGACGATTCTTTTTAGGAAACCAAAAACGGTATGTATTTTTTTTTGCTATCGTAACATTTTCCTTCAAGACGAAACATGATTAATTTTGCACTTTTCGCATCGTTTCATTGTTTTCTGAATTGTCTTTTTTCCGATTCTCCTTACACAAACAAAATTTACTGGAAAGTTTCCAATAGAAACATCTGAATCGTCTCCCGTTACAACTCATCTTTTCCATGGATTCCACTCATGCCACTTCTTCCTTTTCTTCTCCTGTCCTTTCCGTCATTTGCAGGAAAATATAATGAAAAAGCCACGAGCAGTCTTTCACTCTCCCTTTTTTCGCAACTCAGCTCTTTTTGTTTTTTTTCCTGTCGCCTACTCTTTTTTTCGGATTTTTTCTTGTCGATTATCGCTCCCCTAGGAGTAATTTCTACTCCAAAAACCCAGAACTCCTTTTCCAGAAAAAAAGATGACACACAGAAAATCAGAGTGAACAGAAAATGGAAATATCCTTTTTTCTAGTTTCCCGGGTAGAAGAGTTGCTCATAGATCTACTAGTATACAGAGAGTACATGAGATTCCTCCCAACAGAAAAATCGTGGGAATTTCGGCGAATTGCACATATACTCCTAGTTACAAGTCTTCTGCTACTACTACTTCTCGTTAAAAGAAACACAAAGTAAATAAGAAATTCAAGAAAAATGTTGGAGGTACGTATTTCATGTGCGCCATGATTTTTTCTTTTTTGTTATTCTTACACTTTTCTGCACTTCTTCCAATTACCCATTATTTACCTAGCTCTTCTTTATGCAACAAGTATGTTTTTCTGTAGCTAGTGTCGTACTTTTGTTTCAAAATGTTTCGTATTGAAATTGAAATGATTTTATTGGGAGGACAATTTGGATTATTGTAGGTAACTTCCCACAGTGCATCTTGATCATTTGTTATAATTTTTTTTGTTCTATTATTCTGATACAAAAATTGGAGCTGTGGAAGAGAAACGCCGGTTGCTGTGGCAAAAGGTCTCACAACGACAACTACCGTAACCTTAAAATATTTCCTTAAAATATTTCCATTTCCGGATTTATTTTTTGGATTTCATAATGCGTTCTATCAAAAAAAGCATATTTGAAAACCCTAAAATCGTTTTTGTAGCCTGAAATTCATCTGCTAGCCTGTATTACCACGATTTCGAGGTGCCGCAGTTTCGAAGTTAGCCAAAAAACAATCAAATTGACAAAAAGCAGTAAAACACGAGAAATTTGATCAGGCTGAAAGTTTAAATGTTTTTAGGTTACGGTAGTTGTCGTTGTAGGCCCTTCCACAGTTCCGATTTTTGTACCAGAATACTAGATTTTTTTGCTCCAAAAGTTCTTCTGAATGTTATTCATCAGTTCAACCATAACATTGCCACGTCGCAACCTATTTGGCTATAGATGGAATATTCTCCTCCCCTTTCCTATTTTGACTGAAACTCCTCCCCCTTCTTTTCAAGCAAAAACCTTCTAGATATGCCTTCATACACTTTCCACTATTATAATATCCATCAATCTGTTGGGGGCACCTTTTCTATTTCCTTCTTGTTACTTTTCCCCTTATAGTTCAATTTTTTCGTTCATTTTTGCTTTTTTCTCTCTATTATATTGGTCATTATTCAAGCGCACGAGAGAGCCGACAAGAGGAAAAATAGAAGTCTTGAGGAAAGAAGAGAGAAAGTGCTCGTCTGGGAATAGTTCGTCACATTTTCCACTCAATTTTTCTCTCCTTCCCAAATTCGACGATGATCAACTGTTCCCGTTCTCAACCTCCGGATATCGCTATCAAAAGTTCTGTGATTTCAATTGTTCTTACCTATTTGGCTCTTTTCATTTTGGCATTCATTGGGAATGTTACCATGTTTATGATTCTGTGTCGGTGAGTAGAAGTATCACATTGATTTTTTTAGGCAAGCTCCATAACTTAGTTTCAGTTATCAAATTATTAAAAACAACTAGAAATAGTAATGGGGAATTAGATCTCTTCTAAGAACACTGCCCCAAATAATCTAAATTGGACTACGGTAGATTCTTCATTCTTGCAGAAAAGAAGATCATAAAAATACTCAAAACCCTTGCCAAACCAACTCATCATATATTTAAGACTACAGAGTGACTTCACACATATTTCCTCTTTTTTCGTGTGTGGCTTCGGAATTAGAATTATGATGATAACATGGAAACTCGAAAATAAATGGGGATAGACATGAAGAAGCCATTTTCATGAAATTCCAAAGTTCGTCTTTCAGAAATCAATTGGTTAAAGTGAGACGGGTGCATTCACTTCTTCTTCATATGAATATTGCACATCTGCTCGTCACCCTGGTTGTTATGCCCAAAGAGATTCTTCACAATTATATGGTCGCCTGGTTTGCTGGAGACATTGTAAGGGAAACAGATCTTAAAATTAGAAAAAGGGAAAAATTTTGAAGAATTGAAGTTTAACCTTCATGGCCCATAGTACGGTAAACACTCTAATAGCATGTCACCCTATACCTGCACTTTGAGCTCGTATATCTCTGTTCCAGTAAAACATGTCAAAAAGTGTTCAACTGACAGAATGTTTTTGATATTATAAATAATAAACATTTTACCAGTTGATCACTTTCTAATATCTTTCAACAAAACCTAGATAAATTGGCTTGAAGGGCAAATAGAGAGTGGCCTTCTATTACAGGATGGCGCATAATTACCCAGACTGATACAAACGGGTATACCTTTAGACATAAGTGTCTTGGAAGCACAAAAATTGGTAGAAATATAATTGTACGTCCAATTCAAAGCTGCTGAAGTTTTCAAAGCGATTTCTCAAGTCTAGGTATTGTTATGATTGTCCAAAGATGAGTAATGTGTATTGAACGCCGTTGTGGTCTTCATGAGACGAAGCAACTTTGACAAGCAATAACTCTGTTTAAGCTTAATCAAACAATATGAAATCTTGCCAGTTTATTGATGAAATCTTTGAGTTTTTGTACTCCAAATTTCAGCCCAGGGCAACGCTTTATTCAAATTTTATGCCAGTACAAACTTTAGTCCGGGTTTACAGTATTTGTATAGACCAGGTAATTTTATTCATTTCAGTATCACAAAACTTTTGTATACCGAAATCTCCAAGCCTTTTGTAGTTGTAGCATTTTAATATTGTCACTATATCTCGATTATCAAATTGGGATTGTACTCTTTCCTCTAAAACTAATTTTTGTATTTGGCATTATACAATAACTCATAAACACCAGTCTCTCCAAAAACACAAAAAAAAACTCTTCTTGATCTTTTTCAGATGTGCCGAGTCTGCAAATTCTTCGATGTGTTTGGAATCAGTCTCTCGATGAATGTTCTGATTTGTATCACTCTCGACAGGTTCTACTCAATTTTCTTCCCGTTGTACGCAATGAGAGCCAGGAAAAGTGTTCAACGAATGGTTTCAATCGCCTGGATTGTCTCTCTTATCACTTCTGCTCCACAACTGTATCTCTTCAAAACTGCTGAACACCCGTGTTTCGCTTGGTATACACAGTGTGTCTCATTGAATTTCATTGGGGAGTTATCGAATGATGTGGGTCATAATGGAAAATGGGGAATCTGAAAAAAAAATTTGCAGGTGGTCTTCTATTTTTCAATCATAAACATCATCCAAGTCTACATTGCACCTTTGATTGTCACTGTGATTTGCTATTCTCTGATTCTTTGGAAGATTTCGAGAAAAACAAAGCTTGTAGGAGAGAAGGAATGTGAGTTAATTTGAACTACCGTAAAACCTGTAATAGAACGGCCCCCACTGTCAAGTTTGAGCTCCATTATCTCGATTCCTATGCAAAATATCAAAAATGTGTCCACTGGTAAAATGTTTGTGATATAATGATAAACGATTCATCAGTTGCCCACTTTTTCATATCTTTGACCGGAACCGAGAAAAATTGGCCATTGTTTTATAAATTCAAAACTACGGAAAGTCTCAAGGACTAGCCAGAGAACCTGTAAAGGTTTTTGGAGGAAACATTGGTTTCTTATAAAGGTGTTCATATATTGATACATTTGGATCAATTTCCGTAGACATGGTAAGAGCGATTACCGGATACGTGTGATAATAGAAGGCCCACACTGTCAAGTTTGAGCTCAATTATTTCAATTGCTATGCAAGTAATCAAAAATGTTTCAACCAACACGCTCTCCCACAGAACATTTCCGAACTGCAAATTAATTTTTGATCTACAGAAAAAAAAGTTTGGCGCGATCACAATTGCAGCTCTACAACCATAATTTCAGAATGTTTATCTGATTTTGTGGAGTTCCAAGATGATTCAAATGATTCTTAAAAAATTAATTAGTGGTTATAGATTCATGTATGCTCCTTTTCCGGAAGAAAAAATGTCAAAAATGGTCATTTTTGAAAGTTTTTTACAGAAAAAATCTATCTCCTCTTTCAGTTTTTGATATTTTAAGGAGTTCTAAGCTCAAAAAAACGCAATTATTTTCTCTACATTTTCTATGGATGAATTT